CTGTATTCAGTATCAACTGCATAGTTCTATATAGTATGCCACGTTGTATCATTTATGACAGAAAATTCATGTCAAAAGAAGCAAGCAAAATGATATTATCCAAATATGTATGAAAGAGGTTTCAAGTCAGTATTTAATGCATTATCGGTCTTTAGAATCAAATAGATTCCTATTTTTTCCAAGTAGATTCTAGTGATTTTATTCATTATGACTTATTGTTGGGTTTCCATTGTTGTGCAGGAATACCTTCAGGAGAATCCATTATGGTTACACTATGTCAAAATTCCATTGGTAACATTAAATATGAAAATAGCTACTATGTGTTTGTTAAAGCTCATGGGGATGGTCTAACTGGTTAGTCTCAAGCAGTTCCTCTTGGTACTGTTTGTGCATTAAAGGTGAGTGAAAATCACAGAAACAGAACACCTCTTAGGAAAGAAAGCCTTCTGATCAGTGATTCAAGAGGAAGAAAGTAGGCCTTAAGATTCCCTGCAAAGCCCCATAGTATTCAAAACATTGAGGTTAGAACTTAAAAAATTACATGTTTTTCTTCCCAGTCATGTTTATTGAATTTTGCAAGTATTTTTTGGTTGTGCTTGTTTTTTAAGTTTTGAAAATGTAGCTTTTCTTTTTAAAACTTTCCTGTTAAACCCTGTAAAAAGTTTTCATTTTTGTCAAGACCCACACCTAGATTTATAAGGCCTTCCAGGTTTTTAACCTGCCTCAGGTGTAGGATTGGATCAACATGGGTAGTTTGTAGGTTTAGATAAAATTATTATATGCAATGGTTATCGCTTGTTCTTTTCTATTGTTGTTGCCATCATCAGAAGACATCCTGCATTAGTAACTCTTAAGTTTATTTATTTAGTTACTACACCCCCCTGACCTAATGTTGTTACGTCAAGGCCTTAATCCATAGAAAGCTTGATTGCAAACGTCCTTATATCTTTTCGAAAGGCATAAATGCACATTCATGCAAAGAATATCCAAATACTAAGCTACCTAATGTAATGAAGTTATACTGTTTAGAAGGTCTCAACTGCATAGGCAAGTAAGGGAACAAGAATGATAGCAAAACCATTTGCTTAACTGCATTTAGACAAAGATATGCCTAGCAGTTAGGGTTTTCTAAGTGGCGTGTGATTGCCCATCTGAGGAGTGGTTTAAAAGTTGTACAATTAAGAGCTATGGTATTTTTCTTCTAATTTGTGCCTCTTGTAAAATTTGTTAAATATGTCTAGGAGTTGTTGATTGACAAGGTATCTTTACAACAACTGATCACTTGATCAGTAGTAGAGTGGAAATGTAATAGGCCTTTGAGTGGCCCAATTGGAGTAGAGGATTCTATCGAGGCAGAAACGATTATATTTTTCTCTCTAGTAACTGAAGAGGGGATTAAAGCAATAGATTTTGATGGGGTTAAGGACTTTAAGAGGGTCTTGGAAGATGGTCAAATTGCTTAATGAGATGAGTCTTCTTTTATCCCTTGCTCTGTACTGACTAGATAGATCATAGTTGACATATATTTATAGTAGGCCAATGCTAAGCTAAGCTTCCACAACTTGTTAATGTTGGATCCATGGTCCTTTTGTCAGAATGCACCATCTACCTCATTCATCTGTTTTATCACTTATTTTTCTCCTTGACTTGGTAATGTAGTGATGCAACGCTACATTTTGTACCAACACCTTTCAAAGAGCACCAGTACAAGAAAACAAGAGAACTCATGTCATAATCATTGATCTTACTCTAGTGTCATATTCTTCTTATTGCAAAATAAAAAGGATCCACTAAAATCATGGATACGTTATAATCGCCCTTCCACAAGGAGATATAAGCTGAATTACAAGTAAGGGGGAGATGTGCGGTTATCCAGCTGCACATGGGATCTCTTGCAAACATTACAGCAAATAAATAATCTCATGCGCAACAAAATCATGGTTAATCGAATCGATCATTTTGGAAATTTTGGAAAACCAAAGGTACTGGTTCAATTTTAGTTAACTAATATGAAAACCGGCAATTAACCAAATTGATCGGTATTTATATTTATGTATATTATATGTTGTTATGGGTCCGGGCGTAGGATCCTATCATGGGTCGGCCCATAGTGCGAAAGCCCTGCTTTTCTTTGCGCCTTCCTTTGCGTGTAGACCCTATTGTGGCAATCGCGTGGGTGATTTGTCCAAGAGATCACCCGAACTCTCCTAATGGGTGATTTGTCCAAGAGATCACCCGAACTCTCCTTACTCTCTTTCTTGACTRCGAAAACTGAATGCTTTATTTCAATTCGTAGCTCCTTAAATAGGAGATTACAAAAGAGAATTCCTTGTTGGATTCGGCTAGGCTAGGGTAATCCAACTCAAACTAAAACTTCTAATTTCCTACTCAAACTAAAACTCATAACTCTTACTTAAGAAGATAAAATAAAATAAGGATAAGATAAGATAAGATAAGGGATAAGGGATAAGATAAGCTGGCGGCGAGTTGGCTTGACGTGTCCAGATAAGGGTGGGCCCACCCCTATGAGCTGTCGTGTGGGCCCCGTTCTGTTGCTGCTGTCGGGTGCGTGCACGCGACTCATGGTGCCGCTGCCGCGCAGTGCGTGCGCGCGGCTCATGGTGCCGTTGTCGTGCGGTGCCGGGCGTGTGCGTGGTGCATGTTGCCATGTAGTGCGCACTGCTGCCTGGCGGTGTGTGCTACGCGCCATGGTGCCGCTGCCGTGCGGTGCCGGGCGTGTGCGCGATGCATGCTGCGCGCTATCGGCGGTGCGTGCTGCTGCCAGGCGGTGCCTGCTGCTGTGTGTGCTGCTGCCTATGACTGTGCCGCAGTGCGCTGCCGAATGGTGTGACCATAACATATGTTTTATATTTATTTATATTTTATAAATAAATATTATGCATTATACATATATATATATATTTATTTATTTATAATATAATATATTATAGATATCAGAAAATTGAAGAATCTAACCAGTCAAAAACCGAATGGATCAATCAAATTAAGTAATTGGTTTTGATTCTATTTTGGTTCATGGTTTTCCAAAAACCCAAAGGACCAATTTGATTTGAAAAATAGGCCGATGTAATTGTAAGTATGCCCAAAGAGTACATCTCAGCCATCCGGTACTTGTCATGGAGAGATGTTTACTATAAACGGTTGGGATGTACAATACGGATGCAATCCAATGCAAACAGCTCAAAGAGTGTTGTATAATTTTTAGGGGTTTTAACCCTTCAGTCCACCTCTAAAACTAGGTGTTATAAGTGAAGGTGTTCATAAATTTGAATTGTTGTAGGTCTGTATTTTAAATTTGAATTTTGAGGTGGAGTATAGTCTAAAAATCCCTAATTTTTATTACTCTCAGCAGTCAGGACAACTGGGCTCATCTCATGAGTTATGAAAAAAATTGGGTCACTGGGATGTATTTGGGTGTGCCGAGTTCTTGTCGTTGTTGACGTGGTTTTTTAACTACGGAAAAGGGATTTTTTATAATAAATGCTTTGACGACAGAAGTGCCCAATTATTTGGCTAACTACTTGTATTCGTACTCGTATCAGATGGATCTCAAGTCTTAAAGCGATAGGGCTAGAATTTTTACCGAAAAAACGGTAGGGCTATTAAAGTTGCTGCAATATGACAAATTTCGAATGTAGGATAAATAAATAATTTCATTTTCGGAATGAGTGAAGTAGGGTGTATTATTATCTTTACAATTAAATTAATGAATTAAACGTCTGATTAGTCTTTTTATTGAAAATTAAACGTCTGATCAGTTTTCTTATTGAAAAGCAAACGTCTGATTAAAAATAAGCCATTCTATCGCATTTTTTGTATATTATAATCGTTTTATAGGGGAACTCATTAGTCATTACTTTACGGGCGGTCATCCAACAATTTATATATTTCATTAATTATTAAACAGAATGCCTATCACGTACTTTTTTTCATAAAAAAAAAACGAGGGAAAGTATAATTCTTAAGTAATTTCACGATATTCTCTTTTTTTAAAGCCAATTTCACGATACTTTTTAAGAACTTTCCTCCGCTTCGGTTCATTTATATATGGAAAACCGAACGAAGGCCCAAGCGCAACGATAAAAAATTAAAAATCAATTCGGATGAACTCCCTCACAGGAGCCCGGATTTGCTCTTCACATAAAGCGCTTCAAAGCGCCTCACAAGTACATCCTATTATACATTAAAAATATGTAAATGAGATATTCTTAATGCACGGGGAATGTGCATATGAGGCATCTGAATGTGGAGCAGATCCCGCCCCCTGACAGAGAGCGCTGAGGCTGAGCGCCCCACAGCACGATCTATCCGTACATCTCCCCATGACAAATTGGGGGAGATGTTCCCAATGCATGAGTGGATCGTGTTGTGGGGAGCCCGTGTGCTCTCGAAAAAATCAACATGAAAAAACTTGATGAAACGTGTACAATTAGCAATAACACTAGGATCGGAACATCGAATGCCATAAGGTTTGATCATCGAGTTGAGATTGCTTGTTCGAGAGGGTTTAGAGCCCACAGCCCATTCAATGATCGGCGACGTTCCGTACACCTCGGAAAAGATCTCTTCTTAAAAATTATGATCTATATTTTATATTACTGTCATCGAAATTAAAACAGACACCATATGCCATTAATTGGGCTTTTAATCTAAATACTAATTACTTACCAATTTTTCTTTAAGCAGTTTATTTGTTAATTGTTATGACTTATGAGTTATGACTCAAGTTGTGACCCCATGGCCTGCATGTTTGGCACGTGTATAAAATTATTTCCCTCCCTTTTATTTTCCTATTTTTGGACTTTCTTTCTTTTATTTTATCGTTTTTATTTAATAAAGGCAATCTCGATTCTCAATCTTTATATTTGGACTCCCATTGTTGCAAAAATGTTTCGCAACAAAATAGCAGTGACGTCGACGTTAACGGCGCGATTCTTCGCCGTTAAATGTGACGCATCGTTAGCCAAGGGAAAAAATCAGGAACGCCGAACCCGAACGATAGTCCCCAATTGAGTTGAAGATGGTCATTCTGGAGTTTGTCTTCTTCTTCTCCCTTTTCACTCTCTCACACTCTTCTTCGTCCATCTCGTCTTATAGGTTTATAGGCTTTATAGCACAGCCAAAGCCCTTCTCTCAGTCTTGAGTCTCCCCTTTCTTTGCCTTTCCAAAGAAGGTAACAACTATTTATTGGTTCGCTTTAGCTAATTAGCTTCCCCTCTAAGCTTCTCGTCTTCCTTCCCCGAAATCCCTCCCAACTCCCACACCGATCTTGATACCTTTCTTCTCTCTGTAATCCGATCGTCCTAATTAATCGGCTTCTTCAGAATTTTGTTCCTGCTTCCTTCTTTTCATAAATCTTTATGGAGGATTACGTAAGCAGCGAAGAAGAGGACTATTATTCGGATCGTGATTCTCTCGAAGGGTTGGAGAACGAAGAAGAGGATGATTTGCAATGGCGTCCCAAGGCCGCTCCTTCGAGTTCGAGTAAGGTACGAGACATTTCTTTAGGTTTTTCTTTTTCCTGGATAATAATTGCATTGAATTTTCATCGTCCTCTTCTTTTCGTCACTTTAGGTCTTTCTCTACTTTTTCTATATCGTCCTTTCTTACGACTGGGAGATGCTGCGACGAAAATACACGGTGTTTTGAACCGGAATACAATATCTTCCTCTTGTTTTTTTGTGATGATTTACGTGGTTTGACAATCGTTCATTTCTGACTTTTGTTAATTGAAGTAGTGCCAAATATTGGCTTCATGGATTGCCTCAGAATAGTTTCTTTAGCGATTATTGTAAAATAAATCAAAATAAACAATCTTTAATCGCATAAAAGCTTGTTTGTCAATTACTATTGACACTTTGTTTTTTCTAAACGAAACAAAGCAACTAAGCCCTTTGCTTTTCTCGTAGTTGCTTATGCAAGAGATTGTCGACATAATATGGAACTATAATTCTCCAGGTGTTCATGGCATCTAATAAATAGTGAAATGTGCGATGTTAACGAATTAAAATAGTAAATTTCCCTTGTTTCGAGAGCCAATTCGTCTCAGGAAGGAACAGTTTTGGTGTTTTGGAAGATTTAATGTGAATTCTTAGGAATTAGTATTTTAATTCTTTTTATCTATTGGTATCTGAAACTAGCATTTGAAAGTGCATTTTTAAGTTTCCATTTTGTGCTTTTTTAACTCAATCAGCACGGCAAGTATGAATTTGTTTTTAAGTCCAATGCACACTCACATGGTTTATACCCCTGGTTTTGGACCAAATTCAGCATGTAGACCTGTTTTTTCTCACATTTTTTTTCTGGAATTTATTAACGAACCAGCTGGTCCTTTTGCAGGTAATCACAAAAGAATCCCTTTTGATTGCACAGGTAAATTCATCCTCCAGTATTTTTATTCTGAATATAGTCATAACTCACAATTATTGTTTTTTGCCACTCCTACAACTTGGTTATATCACATGGTATAAATCCATGCAGAGGGAAGACTTGCGTAGGGTAATGGACTTGCTAACACTTCGTGAGCAACATGCACGGACCCTACTTATTCATTACCGCTGGGATGTTGAAAAGCTGCTTGCAGTGCTTGTAGAGAAGGGGAAAGACTGGTTATTTGCTGAAGCTGGTGTCACAGTGGTTGAGCGCAAAGATCCTCCCTCACTACCATCTACATCTACAGTATTGTGTTGTATCTGCATGGATGACGTTCTTGCCAAGGAGACTACAACAATGGACTGTGGCCATGGCTTCTGCAACAACTGTAAGAGCTCCCTGTGTTTTCTTAGGTTTCATTTCACAAAATAACAACTGTGATTCTCTTTCCTATTTAATATATATATATATTAAGTATCTGTACAAAAAGTGTGCAATCTGGTTTTATCTCAACCCTAAACTGCAATTGCTGTATTAAGCTAATTACACTAGTTGTTTTTATTAGTTATTATTAAGTACAGTTCTGTTCTTCTAGTATTCAATCCCTGGTGACGGATATCTTTGTAATATGGGGAAAGAATATTATATTTTTTTATTTCCCTTTAACATAAGGGGAGAAACTGCATTGCCATTCTCTTATACTACGCCTTGAAAAATTGTGTGTTTATCTGTATATAGGTTGGACAGAGCATTTCATTGTGAAGATAAATGAGGGTCAGAGTAGGCGTATAAGGTGCATGGCACACAAGTGTAATGCTATTTGTGATGAAGCCATTATAAGAAATCTAGTCAGTGCAAGACATCCTGATCTGGCAGAGCGATTTGAGCGTTTTCTTCTAGAGTCGTATATTGAGGACAATAAAATGGTAAAATGGTGCCCCAGTGTTCCTCATTGTGGTAATGCAATACGTGTTGAGGGTGATAAATTTTGTGAGGTGGAATGTACATGTGGACTGCAGTTTTGTTTTAGTTGCTCAGCAGAAGCACACTCACCTTGTTCTTGTCTGATGTGGGAGCTCTGGACCAAGAAGTGTCAGGATGAATCAGAGACGGTTAATTGGATAACAGTGAACACAAAGCCTTGCCCAAAATGTCACAAACCAGTTGAAAAAAATGGTGGCTGCAACTTAGTTAGCTGTATATGTGGACAAGCGTTTTGGTGAGAGTTCTTTCTGTACTTCATTTTTTATTTGCAATTTTACACTATATCCTGTGGTAGGTTTGCCAAATACTTCAATGCTTTTCAATACAAACTTAATTTGACATTAGATTCCACAGTCATGCAGAACTTGTGTTTTTGCGCTAGAATGACACAATGTTATGATCTCATTGATTCATCCAGGTCTAATAATTTTTATCAACTGCACCTCACTGCCTACCAAAAAAACTATACCATGCTTAGCCTTCCCTTACTTGGCAAAACAATTTAGAGGCTGGTTGTTAAGAATTATCTTACTGCCCAATTGACATATCTGAAAGATCAACAGACAGCATTGCAATTAACAGTTCCTCCACTTTGACAGTGGTCATTGATGATGTTTGTTTCTTGATTTCATTATCATGTTTTAGCTGGTAACCTGTATGGTCGTCCATTATGAAAATTCTCGACACATGGCCTTACAAAAATTGGTTATGATATAATTGCATCTAAGGTGAATAGTGTTCTATCCATATTTCTTACCAAAATGGTTTGCAGGCTAATAGCTATAGTTGCACCTTATACAATGAGAAAATCAGGAACCAGCCTACCTCTAAAAGAATGCCCATAGAAAATGGATCTAGTGCAGGGAAGACTCCTGAAAAAATGAAGCATTTGAAGGCATAGATTGAGATTGTCTGCTGAGCTATTCATTTATCTTCCAGCAGAACTGCCAATGGGTTACAATGGAATTAAGCATATTGTTCAATAGACTGTGGTTGGGAGTACTAAATGAGCCTTGGGATTTATTTACTAATACTCGTTGCAACCCCAAGCTCCTAAAAGGTGCATGATTTGAAAAACGAAGGGTCTTTTCCAACATAAAATACCACTTTTTTTCTAATGAAATCTTCTTTGCTTGCATTTTTCTATCTGCCTCTTATGACAGACTTATTCCATTAGCCATTGGCGTATCTTGTTATTAGGAAGTTGTTTAGTGATGATCTTTTCAATTATTAACATGTAGTTGGCTGTGTGGTGGAGCTACTGGGCGGGATCATACATGGTCAAGTATCAGTGGTCATAGCTGTGGCCGGTATAAAGAAGACCACGAGAAGAGAGCTGAGCGTGCGAAGCGAGACCTGTATCGGTACATGCATTATCATAATCGCTACAAGGCCCATACAGATTCCTTTAAACTTGAAACCAAGCTCAAGGAAACCATACAGAACAAAATTTCTATTTCAGAAAGTAAGGAATCAACACTGAAGGATTTTAGTTGGGTAACAAACGGGCTCAATAGGCTCTTCAGGTCGAGGAGGGTACTCTCATATTCATACCCATTTGCATATTATATGTTTGGGGATGACCTATTCAAGGATGAGATGTCTAAAGAAGAAAGGGAAATAAAACAACACTTATTTGAGGACCAACAGCAACAGCTTGAATCAAATGTGGAGAAGCTCTCTAAGTTCATTGAGGAACCATTTGATGAGTATACCGAGGAAAAAATCATGGAAGTACGGATGCAAGTAATCAATCTTTCTGTGATTACTGATAATCTCTGTAAGAAAATGTGAGTTTAACCGTTCCATACCCCTGATCTCCTTTCGGATTCATGCAAGTCAATTAGTCTCACTCGCTTGTATGCAGGTATGAGTGTATCGAGAATGATTTATTGGGTTCTCTCCAACTGGCTATTCACAATATAGCTCCTTACAGATCAAAGGGTGTTGAGAGGGCGTCAGAACTTTCCGTCTGCTGGAACACCAAGGCCAATGATACCGATAGCTGTATACTATCAGATACTAGCATAAATGGTACTGGTATTGAAAATTTGAAACCTTTCCAGCTAGGCCTAATCGTATCTAACTAATCATTTACCTGATTATTAATTAGTGTCTGTAGTTTCAAATAATCCTCCATAATTACTTCTCTCTCTCGATTATAGTTTTAACTGGAAGCGAATTTGAAGATAAATAAGACAGTCTTCCAAAAGCTACTGACACATGCAATATATAGGAGGAAGAGGAACGATGGAACCTGGTCGGCATTTTCGTGGGTCTCCGAATTTAGATGAAATTGGATGCTCTTCTCGGAAACGTTCTAGGAAAGAAACTTTGGGAGATGGCCTCTTTGACCTCAACTTGCCTGCTGAAGTGATAGACAAGAGCTGATTTTTTTAGGGTTCTGGCGTCGTTAGACAGACTCAAGTGTACAGCTTTTGAGTTTTAACTTGAAGCGACCTCCGATACCATCAATTGCCATTTGTGGATGAATCACCACCTACCTTAACTTTCTTCAACCAGGAAACAGAAAGTGAGATAAATAGATGATTCTAGACCTTACTTTCTTTTTTTTTTTTTTTTGCAATCTTATTTTGTACATGCCTGTCTATTGGGGCAGATGTCCATATATTTATGTGTATATTTTCTTTGAAGGGCTTCTTGAGAGTTAAAAGAGTACATGAAGATTGGCCGATTTGAAGTGAACCGCTTGGCTATATACAGTACATAGGTCACGGTTATTTGAACTTGCATCAGGATGGAAATGCGTTTTCTTATCCGTCTCTGCAATCAGTTCGTCACATCTCGCGTCCTAATGATGCGAAACTTTTAGTAGATACTAAAAAATCTAATAACAAATTATCACCCGCGTGCAAGTTACTTTCTTGGTTCGCTTTCACCTAGCAAAATGTAATTTTAGAAAAGCATAATAGTTATCTCATGAACGTCTGTAATTTCAAACCATTTACCAAGTTTTTCACCAATTTGAAATTAGCGGCAAAGGGTCAAGAGCTATCGGATGTTACTGGCGTAATTCAACGATTTAATAGTTTGTCTATCTATCAAAGGGCATCCCACCGTATGGCTAATGCTGACGATGTGACAACGATTCTAGAGATAAAGAATAAATAATTTTATTACTGCCTGAAATGAATTGTGACATTAAAACAAAATGGCAAAGGCTTAGATGATGATGGTGATGATGATGATGATTATGAAACGTGAATCAAAGCTTGCTTGTTCAATATGATGAAATATGCATTCGTGGTAATGGTCCATTGGATCAAGTTTCCTCTGGCAAAGGGGAGATGATTATTGACCATCACCCAGAATTTTCATATTCCTGTTGTCGACTCCAAAAATCAGAAACCACCCTTGTTCTGGTTGGGTAGAGATCTTGAATTTCTGAGTCTACTGTAACTTATTCAACAATCAACATAGGCGGCCCCGGCAATTAGGAGCACCACAATGGCAAGAATGTCCTTGTCCTGGAAGCAACTTATAGTGATAATCAAATCCCAATTCCTCACCTGCAGATATCTGAAAATCATGTAAAACAAGTTAGCAAATTGCAAGCAAGATGAAACCAAGTGAAGAGATATAACTGTCAACACTGTATGGGTAAGTAATCCTGATTCTGTCACAGTACAAGTATCTGCAGTACACATACATGTAAAATGTCATTATACCATAAATGACTTTCCCTAGGCAAGACCTACCTGTTTCTGCCATTCGGAAAACCCCAAGGCCATTCCAGACCATCAGATGAGGACCTTCATCAGGATCAACCATGTGTCCACATCAATTAGATGAGGACCTTCATTAGGACCATCAATGGGTTGGATAGACCCAACAGAATTGAACATAATCGACCCAATTATATAGGGTCCAGTTCTGCATCACAGGTCCCGATTGTAATTGGGTAAAGATCGGTTTTGCTTGTTCCAAACTGACCATATGTGTTAGTATTGGCATATTACAAGGCTAACCTCATAATGACCCTAGCCTAATACCTTTCTTTCTCATGATATAATTGTAATGTAATCAATTTTTTTGGAAGCCAGCAATGTAATCATATTATCATTTCCAAATGTGTCCAATTTAACAACCATCCAAGCTTATTGTCTAACCACAAGTTAAAACTAGAGTATCAATTATATTTGGGTCTCATTGAATCAAATGTCTATGGAGCATTTCAAAAACCAGTACAGATGGATGACTGAACCATTCAGATCACCAGTTAAGTCACCTTAACAGTTTGTTTTTACCACCTAACCATTATTTCCTTAAATCATTGGTAGGTCAAAACCAGTTCAAGCCTTCTGTGGATCAACATATCTATGGCATATGTAACATTGCTAAGAAACCATCCTTTTTTTTCTCTTGGTAATAAATTCAAAGGTTTTCATATAATTTTTCTATCCTCCCCCTTCCTTTTTAGTTCTCTTCATGTTCTTTTCTTATTATTCTCTTTTTAACATTAATATGCACTATTGATGACATCATTTAGGGATCATTGTGGAATGCAATGGTGAAACCTGGAGCTGATGGCATGAGAACACAAGTTTGAGTCTGAGAGCAGCCACTTTGTTTAAAAAACAAACAAACAAACAAAGGTTAGGTCCATTTCCAGCCCACCCCTCCCAAAACCCAGATAGCCAGGACCATCATTGATTGATGACATCAAACCACTGATGCTTATGTATCAAAGTCTTTCACAAACCATCTATATCTAATATGTATATGCATTCTCCATGTCCTAAACATCATAGTGTGAAAAAAAGGCCATCAAACATTCCATCAGGAAAAGAAAAGAGCTCATACATCTTGTCTGGCATAGAGACCAATATGTGCAAGCCGACAATCCATGCTATCCACGAGAACAAGATAGTTCACAAGATTGGGCGAGCAACTACAAAACCAATATGAACAAACACCATAAATTAGTAATTCACACCTTGAGCAAAGGAGATACAGGATAATGTTGATGAACAGGATTAAAAATCTCACAACTCTCTTGATGAAAAAAGAGGCAGCATTCTTTGATGCCATAAAGCTCAAACTTCAATTGGCAAGCCACCTATAGGACAGATCATGGCCCAAATTTCATATTAACATTTAGGTATCTTACTATTCATTCAGGTGCAAAACTTTAAGATGACTTTGTTTAATAATGTGAAAATAAAAGCAAGGTATTAATTTATTCAATTCATTGACTTCTAAATGGCAGATGGACCACCACTTGAATGTTCCAGAACAATTCACAAATAGTATTACCAAAACATGTTGCACCATTCAAGCCATCTCAGTGACATCTGGGTAAAGGGCAAAATTGTGGCACTTATTGACCAAAATGTCCCTGATGTATTATCCTGTTGGAAGACTTGTTGACAAGATACCCTTCTACATGGACATGTCTGTGAACAGGGTAGATCTTTTTGACTTAGTACATTAAGAGCATGTACAAAGATGGTTTTACCAATGGTTGATGAACCGTGAAACATTTCCAAGTATTGTGGCATCAATCACGTATGGAACTGCTCCTTCAGTCAATCCACTAATATCATTGATGTGGGGATCAATGTCATACAAATAGCTACAGCCTTCATTATCAAACCTGCAATTTTGAAATAAGACATTTATATGCAGCTTAGAACTTAGAAACCAGAAGAGAACATGTGATAAATCTAAGACCTGTTGCCCCTTCTATTTGCCTCTTGATCAGCCAAAACCTCCCCAATGTATTCACACACAAAAGTCCCACTGAAGGATTGGCTCACCAGCTCTGACTGCCCAACCCTGTGAATTATCAAGTAGAAAATAAATATAGTCCATAACTACTAGAAAATAGTTGAAACTATTACCCTATTCTCTGTTTTGAAGACTTCCAATTTGACCTGCACCCCGTTCTGCAATACCCTATTCCGGCAAGTTCTGTCACAGCTGCACATGGAATTGCACTCATAAACTGGATAACCCTCCTGCAAAGTTCAGCAAGTAGAGTACTAAGCTTAATCATCTACTTTTCGTAAAATGAATATGTGCATGAGACAAACATTGGAGTCAGAACAGGACTAGATAACCCCCTGCAAAGGTTAGCAAGCAGAGTACCAAGATTAAGGGTCTGTTTGGTTTGCTTCCGCTTGGAATTGGAATCGCAATGGTCTATTCCCATAGCCTGTTTGGTTCAGACGGGAATCAGAATCGGAATTGGAATCAACTGGAGTGAGATCTCATTTCCAAGGGAGAGGGAGAGAATGGACATTCCCTTAAATGGGGGAATGCCATTCCACTAGGAAGGGGAATGGGATTTCGATTCAGCCCAACCAAATGGTTGGAATTGGAATGGGCCATTCTGATTCCAGATCCTTATTCCCATGAACCAAATGGGCCCTAAGATTGTCTTTCTATAAAATGAATCTATTCTATATGCAGAAGATAGAAATATTGATGTGAGAACAGAACCAGCTAGGAGAGTGCCAAGCTCAATAATATGCATTTTCTATAAAACGAATCTACTCTATTTACATATGACAAAAATGTTTGGAGGCTGTGATCCTCTTACTCTATTTTCTATAAAATGAATTTACTTTACTCTATTTACATCCCCCTTTGTCAGCTCCCTTACCTACATTTCCAGACCTTGGCCTTCCCATTTGTTGTAAGGAATATAAACATAAGTGTAATGCTCACTGTATCTCTAAACACCTTTCTTATAGCCTTTTGTCACCCTCATACTATTCTTTTCCAGACTGTCTCTACCCAATCAATCCATAAATTTGCCTCAAAAGCTTTATCTAAGCTAGAATGAAGGAATGCTATTTCTATGAGAATGGAGATGGAAGCATTACATAAGAATAATAAGTAGGACATTGTTAATTTTCCTAATAGGAAGAAACCAGTTAGTTGTAGGTGGGTGTACACTATCAAATACAATTTTGATGGATCCATTACAATATGTAAAGAACATTGATGTGGACCCCACTGATTGTTAGACAATGTATACCCTTAGCTCCAATCAGAATGATGTACATTATGACATTTAATGTAAATGAATAAAGTACATATTTGATTCATGTTATTATGGTGTGTTTCTGTGTAATACCCTTAAATTGGACACATATGAGACTCGTGTTAATTTAGAATCTTCACAGCCGTTGGATAGATCTGGGGAGATTTATCCTGCCAAGGCTGAT